CCCTCCTTCTGGCGCAGTCGGGTAAAAATGTTTACCCAACGTTATTAATGCTACAATTTATTTTTCGTAACTTACTAATGATATGGATATCATAAAAAAGTCTGGTAGGTATAGGCTGTAAAATAACTTCATAGTAAAAATAAAAAAAATATCTCAAAATAATTAACCCTTAATCGGACAAGCAAGTTATTCATTCGTTCGTTTCAGCCGAAAGACGTCCACAGCTGGACAAAGTTATTCATTCTTTTGAGACATTACTACTAAAAGTTTAATTTTGCATCACTTGCCAAAACCAAAATTCAAAAAGTTGCGAAATCTATCTTTATAAACACATCCTAAGCTGTATGAAATGTTTGAAATCGCTATAGGTATAACTTGTTTTCCTGATATCAATCAACGTTTGATTTTATTACCAGAATCTGTTATCTCAAAATAGACATCACATCTGTTGATCGGTTTGTTTACGAAAATATCAAACATGAAAAATTGCTTTCATCAATTTCCAAGTAATACGACGGAAATCATTAATGAAATGATGGATTAATTTCGTGATTTGAGTTTTGCAGGCGTTGGTGTTTATCTCGAATCCAAATAAAACACTACAGGCATAAAATTGCACCGCCTACTTAAATTCTGTTTTACTAATTTTGTGGTTAGCTGGAAGAGAATGTCACATGGCATTAAGCTCGCCTGTTGTACCACTGTTTTTATGTGTGCAATAAATATTTTAAATAAATAAAAATTAACCGAGTCTGAGTTGGTTCCTGTGATGATGGAGCTATGTGGGAGGCGTGAAGGTCATGGTAAACAAAGTAAACAAAAAAATATATTTATTTTTAACCGGCAGACAGTGGTGACTGAGTTTGTTGCGGCGCTTCTTCTCAGCACTTGCCAAATGTTGGTCTCGAAGCGCTGGTAGGGTAAAAAGATAAATGAGACATGTAGGCTTCTTAAGATCAAAATTACGATTTGTAAGAACTATTTATAACAAATAAAGAAATTTTGACTTTGACTTTGAAAACAATTGAATACTTGACCACAGTTAAGGGAATTTGACACCACCAATCAATTGACGTACTTTTTAACTTTCTAAACGAGATTCTCCTTTAGGGCTTCCACAGACCAAAAGCAGGTCAGAAGCAGTGCGGGTCAGTTGCAGCGCGGCTGAGGCACACTGAAAGCAGCGCAGTTTCAAAGCAGTTGCAACGCGGGCGGTTATCAAAAACTACTTTTAAATTACAATGCAACCAAAAATCTTAATTTCAAATTAATTTAGATTTTAAAACCAGAATGAAGTACAATTTAGCGGTGTCACCTATTAAATCTATGTAGCGAGATTATTTTAGAAAAATATCTAATTGTATATTGGCTCGTGGATAAATTCTATAATGACGTTTCCTAATATTCTAAAGTTTCTTTCGCTTGGCTGTGATAGTAAATTTATACTTTAGAGCGTTTTATTAAGAAAACAAGCTTTATTTTACAATAAAGGGTTAAAAAACTACAAAAAAAAGTTAAACGCGAAACATTTCCATACTAAATATTAATTTAAACTAGTATTCAACGCGCGTTTAACTTTTTTTTGGTAAGGCTCTATATTTCCAATGTCCTAAAGTGTCCACCAAAGCGGATAAGAGATGTGATTGAAAATCTCCTCTCTTCTCCGCGGTAGTGTCCACAGATCACAGAAACTAAAGGGAGATGTGAAAAGGGGGCGGGGTCAGTGTCGCAGCAATATGCCCAAAAACAGAACACATTGCTCCCGACAACAATGATGACAACAGCGAAGTTATAATGTGTCACACACTTATGTAAAGGTAACAGAAATGATGTGACAATAAAAGTGTTTGAATTTAACTTGTTTTCTTAATGAAAAGGTCTCTAACTACTCTATTTGAGTTCCTTCTCGTTTAGCGATTCTATTTCAAAGCTTTGTTAGGTCACTAGCTAGTCAATCTACCCCCAATATGAAAATTACACTTTAGCCCAATTGATTTTGAGCTCTACTTCGCAAGGATAAATCAATTGGGTAACACCTACCTACCACTAAATGATTATAAACTTTGGGTAATTAATTTTATGGTTTTAAAATTAAAATATTTGGGGTAGTTTGATTCGCTTTTTACATAAATAAATAGTTTTTGTATACACACATTAACTGTGTTTGGAGTTTTCGGTAGAAAAAAAATACAGCACTAAAGACGGGTCTCCAGCAAATCAACATAAACATCTAAACATTCAACAATATTGCCTATCAGAAATGTTGAATGTTGATTGTGTAGGGAAAACGGGCGCTAGAGACCCGGCTTTAAGCTTTAACCCTTTGGTGGATTTAAAAAAATAATTTTTGAGCCTGAAACATTCACTAAGTTATTAATAAGTAGTCAATTTATTACCACTGCCCGATACTTTTTACGACGTAATAGTTAACACGTGTTAAACACTAGTTTAAAGTGTCCAAATATCATTTTAACTTAGTGCTCAATGCGTGTAGCTTTTACTATGTAAAGAGGAATTTAAAAAACGTAGACTAGGCTAGTAATATAAAAAAAACTTTCAAATATTTATTCTGTAACTTTCTTATTAGTTTTTTTTCTATTGTAAAAAGTTAAAATTCTTCGTTGAGAAAATCGTTCTTTGGCGTTGTATTTTTATTTATTAAGTAATCTAGCGTCAAACTCTCTACACAGCAAATTTTACTAAATAAGAATATTACTTTAAGCACATTAAATGTACTTTTTTTATATTAGATAAGTCAAACTAATGCAAAATAATTTACGCAAAGCATAAAAACTCATAAGTGAAGATGCTTGGTGAAACATTCTTTTCCGTAATTAAAAAAAAAAAAAAAATCCTTTAACTGGAATATTTACCCAAAAAATATAAAATAGTCATTTTGGCCTTAATTGACGTTCAAGGAACATTAAAATGTACTTTTTACTGTCTGATAATTGAGTTATATCTTTTTTAAACCAAAATGGCAGTTTAGTTTTTATTTATCGAGAAAAAAAATTGTTACACCAAACATAGGATACAATAAATTATACAAACACTGTAGTAGATTTATCGGCTAATAACTTTGTATTATTATTAACCGGAATAATGTACAATTATGATGAATATACATGGATTTCAATAAAAGTTGTTTTAGTTTTATTACATATTTAACACTAATAGAAAAAGCAATTTTTTTTACTGACCGCATCAATTAAAAATAATGGTGGGGCTCCTTGCCATAATTTTAAATTCTGCAGTAAAAGTTATTTAGTATAGCCCGACCAGGAACATAAAAACCCTCGCCATGTTGCGGAAAACTAATGGTACTAATTTCTTTTAATGGCAACAGTAACTGAAAACTTCATAGACATGTCATCTTGCATGTCAGTTTATTGCTGTCAAAGTGTAAACAAACTTTATTTAAATGGGCGCAATTGATTTTGTGAATTAAATTGGTATAGCCTGACCAGGAACATAAAAACCCTGGCATAGAGGCGCCTCAATTGCATTTGATAGTGCAACACTGAGTACAGTCGTACCTGTGTTAAAATAATAGGCTAACTTTATGTATCAGGATTTAGGATTACGGGCTAATTTGATATTTTCATAAATTAACGAAAAAATATTATTAAAGGTAACCTGGTTTAAATATATTAAATGAAACCATCAATCAAGCTAGTAGGATTTATTTTATTATTCATCAATAATCAAATTCAGAACTTGAATATTCAACTGCAATGTCTGCTCATGAACGCTTCAAACTCGGTACTTCTTTCCCAATTCCTTAAAATTCAACACTTAGAAAGTGACAAAAAAAATTAAAATAGGTAGTTGAAACAAACCACAGCTAATTTTCATAGTGGACTGTACTATACGATAACATGTCAGTCAATTTGACAACCTTTGTCGGAAACATTATTCAATGAAAATATTGTCCGAACCCTTAGTATTTCTCTTCGACAAATACTTTAACACATTGTGAACCACTTTTCTTTCACGACTATAAAAAGATTTTAGCAATTTAATTCACAAAATCAATTGCGCACATTTAAAATAAAGTTTGCTTACACTTTGACAGCAATAGACTGACATGTCAATGAAGTTTTCAGTTACTGTTGCCATTAAAAGAAATTAGTACCATTAGTTTTCCGCAACATGGCGAGGGTTTTTATGTTCCTGGTCAGGCTATAAAATCTTTTTATAGTCGTGAAAGAAAAGTGGTTCACAATGTGTTAAAGTATTTGTCGAAGAGAAATACTAAGGGTTCGGACAATATTTTCATTGAATAATGTTTCCGACAAAGGTTGTCAAATTGACTGACATGTTATCGTATAGTACAGTCCACTATGAAAATTAGCTGTGGTTCAACTACCTATTTTAAAATTTTGTCACTTTCGTGTTTTTATGGAATTGGGAAAGAAGTACCGAGTTTGAAGCGTTCATGAGCAGACATTGCAGTTGAATATTCAAGTTCTGAATTTGATTATTGATGAATAATAATTATAATAAATCCTACCAGCTCGATTGATGGTTTCATTTAATTTATTTAAACCAGGTTACCTATAATAATATTTTTTCGTTAATTTATGAAAATGTCAAATTAGCCCGTAATCCTGAATCCTGATACATAAAGTAGCCTATTAATTTAACACAGGTACGACTGTACTCAGTGTTGCACTATCAAATGCAATTGACGCGCCTCTATGCCAGGGTTTTTATGTTCCTGGTCAGGCTATACATTATTATAAAACGCAGCCCTTAATAATTATATTCTCAAAGAAATAAAACGAATTAACTTTTTTGGAAGCTAAATATTTATTTTCCAATAATAAAATAAATTAACATGATTGCACAACCCCGAATCTAAGCACTTTAATAAGCGGTAATCCTTAATTTTTGTCAAATTTACTCCCCCTTACCATTTATTGTTGTCATTCTAAGTTAGAATTAAAATAAACCCAGCGACCCAAAAATTGCTATCACACAAGTCACAACAATAATTTACTGTTTTTATAACAACGAGAAAGCTCGAGTGGCTTGCATCACACCTGATGGAAAGTAATGATCAGGCCGAAGGTGGAAGCTAGCTTCAGTCGGAATCCTTAGCCACAGAGGAACTGACTACCTTACCTCCGACTGCCTAAACCCAACAATGCTGGTAACATTACTGTTAAGGCGACAAACTTGGGTAAGATGATGGATGGTAGCCAGTTATTAAAATTACTTAGGTAATATTATATCAAAATATACATCCTTTACGAACATACAGAAAATAAGTGGCAATGTACAGATTACAGATGCCAGGATAAGATAAAACAGTATTTATTCACTTTGTTGTACTTTCATAATCTGGAAAATACCTATGTCTTTGTCATTATCTCCCCAATATAAATATATCATCCATGTATACCACTCGACCGTTTCCTAATCCTGCGGTTCGTCATCAGGCACAGTGGATCCAACTGTCGATGTGGCTTCTGTCACATCCGTGGTGGACGCATCCCCGAAACCATCTGTGGACAACAAGAACTGTTATTGACTGTTATTCGCAATAATTCTTGTAACGTGATATTTAAAAACCCTAAGAGTGATCTTAAAATATTGCGAAATTTAAACTATGCTTTTACAAGACAAGGTTTTACGCCCGTATTCACAAAGATTACTATGAGGTCTCACAGTGCGCGTGGACGCACAGGGTGACACACGAACCAATCACAGAGCTCTATTCAACGCTGTGTGTTCGATTTGCTGCTTCACTGAAGCAAGCATCGTTTGTGAATTCGGGCGTTAGTGAGACATTAAAGAAGATCTGGAGCTATAAATTAATTCTTCTAAATACCGCACTCGCTTGTTGCTACAGGTTGACCGTTTTGCTTTACTGGATCCTGCGTAAAACTGGATTGCCGTGGGGAAGGACTTTAAGTTAGCGTAAAGATCCAATACATTGAATTGTCCCACCCGTGACATTGACAGGGGGGCGTCACCGTCAATAGCGGAACGCTGGTTCCGATTTTTGCCATGATGGAAACTATAGAGCTGAACGATGGTGGCGCCCCCCTGTCAATGAGTTTGGTAGGACAGTTCAGTGTAGGTTATTACTTAGACTGAGTTGCACCACCTAACTTTGACAGCAATTATAGCGAAACCAGTGTGTATTTTATGGAGTTTGACAGATTTTTGACGTTTGTTAAAGTCAAAGAAGATGGTGCAACCCAGCCTTAGAGCGCTTTCACATTTAGGCGATTTAGCAGCGCGACAAACGTGCGACAGACGCGCGCCGAAAAGGACATCATCCACGTTTCATATATTTTTGGTCCAAAATCAAGTGCCGGCCAACAAAAAAAAGTGCTGTATTCTGACAGAATACGTCTGCCTTAGCATTTGTTACTATGGCACCAAAGCTGTAGCACCACTGTGCGTCGAGTATTTGAGATCTAAAATTCATCGACGATTCATACATTTTTTGTTCAAAATCAAAAATGTCGGCCAATAAAAAAAGTACTGTATTCTGACAGAATACGTCCGCCTTAGCATTTGTTACTATGACACCAAAGCTGTAGCACCACTGTGCGTCGTAGTATTTGAGATCAAAGTCAGTCGTTTCATTTATTTTTAGAACTCAAATACTACGATGCACAGTGGTGCTACAGCTTTGGTGCCATAGTAATAAATGCTAAGGCGGACGTATTCTATCAGAATACAGCACTTTTATTTTTTGGCCGGCACTTTTGATTTTGGACCAAAATGGATGATGTCCTTTCATACTATGCGACAGCGGATGCATGCCTTCACATTATAAAAACGCCGCTGCCGCGCTGCTGTCGCGCTACTAATGCCCTACTGTGAAAGCGCTCTTACAGTTGCAAATGACTCACCAGTAACAGGACTGGGCGTGGGACTAGTGTCACACTTGCAGCGGCGCATCTCTTCCAGGATCCTCACTTCTGAAGGCAGCAGCTGAGCTATCTGCTCCGGTTCCATCGTTGCTAATGACATACAGTTTAAATTTTAAAATAATTATCTAATAACACTATACGCACTAAACATGGATGGATGGAAGGATGAGAAACTAAAATAATTTCGGTACTAATGCCCGTTTTCATCATCAATCCTTAATTTGTTAAGTGACCCCTATGAAAACAAAATTAATGTTATGTGTTACCATAGGGGTCACTTAAAAATTAGGGATTGATGGTGAAAACGGGCACAAGTCAGTCGCCTCAAGTGGAAGGAAGGAAATGGTAACTGGTAAAGTAACAAATAAATGCGACGCACAACCTGATTCAAATTGGGGTTTGTTAACTTTTTTGTTACTTTGAAATTAATAATAGCACATACATAGTATAGCGCTTAACTTAGAGCTAAGCTTTTCCAAATAATTTCTAAAAAGAGACGGACGTTTGTCGTGTGTCTACAAGACCGCAGACCTTCAGACAGTTCTTTATAACAACGGTCATAGAATTTCCGTGTGCGGTCTTGCAAACAGATGTCTAACGTGCGGCTCAAAACGTCTAATTTGAAAGAGCCGGTCTGTTTCCGTAAACGCCAAACTTCAGCGGGCTTCAGACATTAATTTGTGTTCCGTGCGTGACAGCTCTAGCTCTGTTATGTCTGCAGTATGACTGAGCGCTACACAAATAGCAGTATGAATGTATGAAGTAGAATTCCAAAAATAGACTCACAAAGTCCGAACTGCACTTTGCTTTTCAGCTCATCTGCAGAGACAGCCTTCTCCACGCAGCGACACGTGGGGTCCTCCAAGGCCGCCTGCTCCTCCGCGCGTCTCCTAATCGATGACGGCAGTTCCTTTGGACCTGGTGGTGGAATTATGATTATACTTTTTAGGGCGAGAGTGAATAGGCACTTACAGGGCATAGACTGCATCTCACTTGACACCAGGCGTAATTGCGGACCAATACCTGCCTTGTTATTCATAAAAAAAAGTATCTACATACCTATTTTGAATTAGGCAATGAGAACTTGTAAAATTAATATAATGAATAGGTACTTAGTTTTTAAAGTGAAATTAGTCCGGATAGCATTCTGAACTGAACTTAATCCTGACAAATAACGAGTTTACGACTTGTTTTCTGGTTTTTTAGGAAACCAACAAGTCGTACTTTTACCCAGTGGCGGCCCTAGCAAAAGTTTTAGGTGGTGCAAAATCTCAAAATGGCGCCCCGAGTTGTTCCTATACTATGTAGTTACTTTATCCGTGATTACCTACTAGTATTAGATCTGCCAAATTACTATAGATATATGAGGCAAGTACAATGATGACTATCGTGCTTGTCATAGCAGTTGTTCTGCTCATTCGCAATAAAAAAAATGACGTCAATCCCGCTTGTATTACCCTCATGCCCTGCTGAGGCAAATTGTACAGATGAGAAATAAAAACAGTTAAGTAATAATTTTGTTTCACAACTTTTATTCAAACTGATAGGCTACATACAGTCTTAAAAAAAAAAACTTCCAACAACCACTTTAATGAAAAACTTAAATGGCTACCTTTCTGGCTTTTGCGCTTGCAAATTTTTTTATTAATTCGGAATAATTTAGCTTCTGAGCAATAGCATTTTCTATGGACAAGATTCCAAGATCTGACAGTCTTTCCTGACACATAGTAGAACGTAGGTAAGTTTTTATAAGTTTCAATTTACTGAAGCTTCGTTCCCCTTTAGCGACAGTTACAGGTATAGTCAGCAAGATGCGAAGTGCTGTCCACACATTTGGGAAAATATCCTGCCAATCATTCTTTTTAATAAGTTGGAGAACTTTAAGTGGCTCTGCTGATTGAAGATCTTTTATTAATGGGTTCAAGCTCATAAGTTCCTCAACCAATTCACAACCAGACACGTCACATTTTTCCCCATCTGTTAAACTGATTTGCAAATCACTACAGGCTTTTTCCAATATGGATCTTTCAGGAATTATTTTCATGTTGTATAAAAATGACCATGTATCATTGAATATTGATAGTTGTTTAAATCGAGTGACTAAGGCATTCTCAATTGTATCAATCATAGGGTAGAAAACGTTCATTTTAAACAATTCTTCAGGATCAGATGGTGTCTCATCTACGGCTTCATACTCAAATAATCGTTTCTTTCTTCGGGATCGGGCAGCCTTAAAAATTGGGTCTATCTCAGCCTGAGATGCTATTTCCTTAGCTGTTATTAGAGCAGATGAAGAGTCTCGGTACTGTTTCACAAATTCTGAGCAGTTTTTCAGCAATTGCGACGCATTTGGTAAATCCATAGATNGTTTTTTTGACAAGTATTGTTTTTGATGGGATCTCATTTCTTTTTGTATTTTGTAGACAGCAGTTATGTATCTAGAAAACTGGACCGAAATTGAAAAATTTTACTCGACTTGGCGGTTGCACTACCGTGCCCCCAAATATTTTAGTTTTTCCTTGATTCATACACCAAACACTACTTATATTCCAAATTTGAAGCTTCTAGGTCTGCTAGAAGTGCCTTAGAATTTTGATGATCGGTGAGTCAGTCAGTGAGTCAGTCAGTGAGTGACAAAATTAAGTAACTTTGACCCGTTATAATTCTTAAACTACTGGTTCAAATTGAATGAAATTTTCAATATACCGTGTCTTTACAATGCCTGCATAGCTAATGAAAATTCAGCCTTCTAGTTTTATCCACAACGAAGTTACAGGCGGTCGAAAATGGCCTGAATTGCTTCGAGAAAAGATGGTACGGCCGTGCCGCTTTTTTGCTCGACTTAGTGGGGGCACTGCCGTGCCCCCAGATACTAATATTATAAATGCGAAAGTAACTCTGTCTGTCTGTCTTGCTTTCACGCCTAAACCACTGAACCAATTTTGATGAAATTTGGCATAGAGATAGTTTGATTCCCGGGAGTTTTTTCCGGTTTTTGAAACAGGTACGCGCGCGATAAGGTTTTTCTGTGACAGACAAAATTCCACGCGGGCGAAGCCGCTGGCGGAAAGCTGGTAAAGAAATAAATAATAAAATAAACATGTACAATCGGGTATTGATTAGCGAAAGAAAGAAACATTTTACGTTCGAATATTTACTCCCGTATTTACAACTAATGCTCGCGTAAGTGAAGCAGCAACAATAACAATCGAACGCACAGCGTTGAATAGAGCTCTGTGATTGGTTCGTGTGTCACCCTGTGCGTCCACGCGCACTATGAGACCTCATAGTAATGTTTGTGAATACGGGCGTTAGATTATCACAAGTGATAGTAAAGTTAAAGTCAGAGCTGTCAATGGTAGAGTCTCGCCCTTGAACTCTAGAGAAAGTAAGAGTAAACTACCTGCTGGGTGTAGAGCTGATTGATTGGTTGACGTATAAAAACATACTTTTTCTAACAAATAAAACAGAAATAACATTGATACTGAACTATCCTTGTATCTAGTGATACGAGACAACTTATAGATCTATCTGGGGGCACGGCAGTGCCCCCGCCAACTCGAGCGCGAAGCAAACACTGCCGTACCATCCTTTACTGGAACCATTTCGCCGCATTTTCAGGCCCCTATTTGAGAACCTCTGGATAAGACCAGAACGCAGAAATTTTCGTCGTCTAGTAAGCTATAATCACATACTTAAAATCCAAAATTTCAAGTCTGTAGGTCATTTAGTTCCGAAGTTATGCGAAAGCAAAGTTTCGCATTTACGACACTCACTCACTCACCCACTCACTGATGATCATCATAAGTAAAATTTTATATAAAAAAAAAAAACCGACTCCAAAAAACCTACATTAAAAAGTAGAAAAATAATTACNGACTTGGCTAGTTTTTTACAGAATGTTTTTAGTGGGATACTAATATTATAAAGCTAAAGAGTTTGTTTGTTTGTTTGTTTACTTGAACGTGCTAATCTCCGGAACTACTGGTCCGATTTAAAAAAATCTTTCAGTGTTAGATAGCCCATTTATCGAGGAAGGCTATAGGCTACAACATCACGCTACGATCAATAGGAGCAGAGCAATAATGAAAAATGTTGCGAAAACGGGTTTTTACGCGTACGAAGTCGCGGGCACAGCTAGTCTTTGATATAAATTTGAATTTGAATTTAAGGATGATAGTTATTAAGGATAGAGACAGTTAGATCTCTAATTGAGTCAAATTTCATCTACTACAAGCTCTGGATGTAGCACTTATTTGTTTAATGTAAGTAGATACTTTTCTCTTACTGCCGTAGGACGGTTTATTTCTCAAGTAGATAACCATGGAAATTTTAACTTGAGTTCGAACTTTTTTACTTTGGAATTTCAAAGTATGTAAATTGATGTCATAGACAGTCAGTATAATTATCATAAGTATTTCTTTTGTTTTCAACACCTACCAGGCTGACTACCACCCACCAAGCCATTTTCCTATGTTTAGAGTCTTCGCAGATTAATGATTTTTATCGGGCGACTAGCGGCTGCCCGCGACTTTGTACGCGTGGATCCCGTTTTACCCCCTTGGGGGTGGAGTTTCGTAAAATCCTTTCTTAGCGGATGTCTACGTCATAACATCTACCTGCATGCTAAATTTCAGCCCGATCCGTCCAGTGGTTTAGGCTGTGCGTTGATAGATCACTATGTCAGTCAGTCACCTTTGAGTTATATACAGTGTGAGTCACGTTAAAGTGTACATATGAAAATATATGAAACTAGACCTATTTTTATCGACAAAAAAGAGATCAAAAATTTTTTGAGAATTTTTTTTAATTTTTTATAGAATTTTTTTTCTTCCAATTACTTATTGTAAAGAAAACGCAATAACTTTTAAACTAAGCGGTGTATCCTGATAAAATTAAAACAGTAATAATTCTAAATAACAGGCGATACTAAAAAAATAGATGAAATACCTAGAAAATGCCAACAAATAATAAAAAATGATACTTTTTGAAAAAAATCGACACAAAATAACGAAGCGTTGAATGGCGCGCCCGGAGAGGCTTAGTTCAAACGATCATAGCAAATGTTGTNAGTGTAGACCAAATCCTCCATTTGCCTCTGGTAAATTAGAGAGAGTCGTGCTTCTGCAGTTAAGACTAAATGACTGATGATGATGATGATCAGGGCTCCTTTGTTTCACAAACTGGAAGCATTAACGTAACATTATTCATAATAGATTTTGTAACTACCATTGGATGCTCTGTTTACTTTATTATAATGTAATACCATGTCATAATGAAAACATTGCATATGTTTTGAAATATATGTATATTAGCTTTCCGCCCGCGGCTTCGCCCGCGTGGAATTTTGTCTGTCACTGATAAACTTTATCGCGCGCGTCCCTGTTTCAAAAACCGGGATAAAAACTATCCTATGTCCTTTCCCGGGACTAAAACTATCTCTATGCCAAATTTCGTCAAAATCGGTTCAGTGGTTTAGGCGTGAAATCAAGCAAGACAGACAGACAGAGTTACTTTCGCATTTATAATATTAGTACATACATACTTCCCACGAAAACTATACTTATTTATGTTATAGTCATTAGGCATAACAATTTATTACACTAGAACAACTTCTTATTCCGCGATAGGAAAATATGAAATCGTATTATTAATGGAAAAATATAACTGTACTTGTAATATATGAAGTGAGAGTCTGATACAGTTAACTATGCGTGAACAGAATCCAGGTTGCAATCATATAGCGTAGACTGAAGTATACTTTAAGTGGGTAGATGAAGATTTAGAAATTGATAGAGTCAGTGATTAGAGCTCAATTAGTTATGGAAATATAACAGTGTTTTATTGTAAAACTAGCTTTCCGCCCGCGGCTTTGCCCGCGTGGAATTTTGTCTGTCACAGAAAAACTTTACCCGCGTCCCTGTTTCCAAAACCGGGATAAAAACTATCCTATGTCCTTTCCCGGGACTCAAACTATCCTATGCCAAATTTCATCAAAATCGGTTCAGTGGTTTAGGCGTAAAAGAGAGACAGACAGATAGACAGACAGAGTTACTTTCGCATTTATAATATTAGTATAGATAATGACCATGTAATTTCCTTGCTCTAGAGCAAGAACAATAACCACTAGTGGTTATTGTTAGATTCTATCGATTTAGAGGTCTCTGGTTTGGTATTTATTTATATCCAAGCTACCAAGTCTAAATAAAATACATAAAACAATAAATCCTCCGTGGTTGAGGATTCCGGGTGAAGCTCGCTTACACCTTCGGCCTGATCGTCACTTACCATCAGGTGAGATACAGGCCAAGAGCTTCCTCGTTGTGGATAAAACTGAACTATTAACTAAAGATTGGTGCTGGATGCAGGCCGCTACCGACTGGTCAATGTGGAAGTCATTGGGGGAGGCCTATGTTCAGCAGTGGACGTCCTGTGGCTGAAATGATGATGATGACATCCGAACTCTAATATCAGTTCTAAGTTAGAACCAAGCTGTAAATCCTGTAGATCCAGGAATTAGAATGGTCCATCTCTCGTCCATTACTTCTCTACTAAATCTACTTCCCGTTAATCGGTAAAATAAAGAAATAAACAATAAACAAGTACAAAAGTATTAATTAGAGAAAGAAAGAAAGAAACATTTTACGTTCGAATACTTACGCCCGTACTCACAAACGATGCTTGCGCAAATCGAACGCACAGCGTTGAATAGAGCTCTGTGATTGGTTCGTGTGTCACCCTGTGCGTCCACGCGCTGTGAGACCTCATAGTAATGTTTGTGAATACGGGCGTTCGATTATCACAAGTGACAGTAAAGTTAAAGTCAGAGCTGTCAATGGTAGAGTCTCGCCCTTGAACTCTAGTGAAAGCAAAAGTTCACTCTACTTGCTATGGGTGTAGAGCTGATTGATTGGTTGACGTAAAACATACTTTTTCTAACAAATAAAACAGAAATAACATTGACACTGAACTGTCTTTGTATCTAGTGATACGAGACAACTTATCTTTGATATAAATTTGAATTTAAGGATGATAGTTATTAAAAGGATAGAGACAGTTAGATCTCTAATTGACTCCTACTACAAGCTTTGGATGTAAGTAGCACTTATTTCTTTAATTTAAGTAGATACTTTTTGTCTTACTGCCGTAGGACGGTTTATTTCTCAAGTAGATAACCATGGCTTTAACTTGAGTTCGAACTTTTTTACTTTGGAATTTCAAAGTATGTAAATTGATGTCATAGACAGCCAGTATAATTATCATAAGTATTTCTTTTGTTTTCAACACCTACCAAACTACCACCCACTAAGCACATTTTTCTATGTATAAGAGTCCCCGCAGATTCATCATCATCATTTCAGCCATAGGACGTCCACTGCTGAACATAGGCCTCCCCCAATGCTTTCCACGTTGATCGATTGGTAGCGGCCTGCGTCCAGCGCTTCCCTGCTACCTTTACTATGTCGTCGGTCCACCTTGTAGGTGGACGTCCCAGATTACCGAGTTTTAATCGGGCGATAGTTTCATCGACTTTCAATTTGTAATGAGGAATCGGCCGATACCAAATCGGTGTAACATTCATACAGGTTTCATTAACAGCCCGACTAAACTATCGGTCGACAAAAAGTATAGTCGACAAGGAATTTTAGGTTTTTACAGTGTCGGTATTTTTTATTATTTACTTTGTTGAATGGGTGGATAATTCTTTCAATCAAAATGTGGTGAAATGAAGCAAGATTGCTCAATACAAACTAGAATTTAATTTGATTTACTTCAACTTAAAACTCTACTTAAACAACAAACAAATATTCTCAATACAATACCGCTACGTCTAAATTATAACTATTTAAATAACAACGACATTCTTATTTTAATAAATGTCGTAAATATCCAATTTTTTTAATAGTCGTAAATTACTTAATTGCTTTCGCCAATTACTCGTAATGTATGAATTTCCACCAAAGTTAACGAGTAACAAACATTGCGTGTTATGTACAAGTTATGTACACATAGGTAATTAAGGCTATATGTTTTTCCGATTGTATGAATTATGAAACCCATACATTTTTCAAAAGTCATTGACTTTGTTCGTAAACAATTTTTTTATGAAAATCAAGTAGGTATAACTTTCTTGCGGCATTTTGTTTCATCGTAATGAATCAATTTCTAATTACTGCTTACTTAACTCTATAAAATCTATGAAACGTAAAAATGTGTTACAGATTTTATAATTTGGGGAATATTTTCTACTAGTTGTAGGTACTGTACAATAATAAATGGCTAGTAAAGAATAAATAGCCCGACTTACAATGTAGCAATAATTTTTATAGTTCTATAAAATATATTATGTTTTTTCATCATATCGGTAGCTTGTTTTCGATAAATACTCATAAATTATAATAGCTTTAGATAGACAATCACACTTTCAATTGGTTTTCTCAAAATAATATCCCATTTAGTAGAATAGCAGGAACAAAGTAAATAAAATTAATTAATTAAATGTAGAGACGAGAATCACCCATAATTTAAAATATTTTTTAAAACTTCACACCATTCCTTATTTAATTAATTAATTAAAAAGCTTACCTTAAAAATCTAAGCGCCTTTCACGTCTCCAAAAATACAAAATCACCTTCCAAACAGTTCAACACAAAGCCCCAACAATAAAAAAAATTTTCAAAAAGTTTTTTGACAAAATTAGGCCTCCTTCGTCGACTGAATCACATTTTCCCAAAGACAAAAATGGTTCATCTTACACTTGAAAACTTTTTAGAATAAGCGTCTAGCTGCGCGTGCGATCGCGACCGAACTGAATACTGGCAAGAAATTTCTGTGAACTATCTCCCAGGTCCGGATTCAGTACGTTTCGATCATTACACATAATATGGTCGCATTCATTAAAAACGTATCGGTGATATAAATATTTAAAAGTGAAATGCTTTGTCTGTATTTTTGGAACGATATCCGTATTTTAATATTTTATAAGTTCAATCGAAACTTTTTCTCGGAGTTCGTGAACGGTTGCAGCTTTCGTTTTAGCATTCAATTTAGTTGAAGTATTAGATTCGTGTATTCGATTTCGTGATTTAATAAATTGATCATTTGTTATCGAATTAATATTTGTTTAGTAATGGTCCGACATTTAATTAACTGCTGAAATGTAAAATAAGTAATAATCATGCTGTCGTTGAAAACATTATATCAATTTTAACGATTCCGGGATATTAATGCGAATCAGTAAAATACATATTTCTTTCTTGTGCTCTCTAATTTGTTTTTTGAATAAACACCTAATTAAAAAATATTACTCGTATAAATTTTAATTTAGGCCAGTAGGAATCAAAAGTAACAGAATTTTAAATTACTTACTTCTCACAATCAATGAAATTGGTTTTTTACATGCCCCTCTTAAGAATGGAACCCACGCCCTTCGAAATGACTGACTCTAACTTTACCACTAGTCCATCGAGGCATTATAACTAGTAAAGTAGCTATGTGACGAAATTCGCATATTATTATAAACGTTCCTCATTATGATTCACTGAACAACAATTACATAGTGTTGTATTAATAGCATTCTTAAATACCGGTTCAGAATAGTTACGTCTGAAAGTATGGCGGTGAACCGGTGGACAATCAGTATTGATGAAATAGGCGCCATTTGAGCGGTAAAACGGGTCTAAAGTTAGAACTAATTGAGGAGTTAGTAGAGCGAACGTGTTAAAATGGCGATTAAACGGTAACTGTTATTAACTTTCATCAAAATGACACAAGCATGAACGTTTTTTTGGCATGGTTTAGAAATATTTACAATTTTTTTTAAACATTTATAAGTCACACGTGGGCATTTTAGTTTTATTTTTACGAATGCAGTCGCATTTATAAAATAATAACAATTTAAACTAATTTAATAGGTACTACTAATTTTCTACGTAGTTTTCTACAAGTAAAAACTGTTTTTGTTACAATAACACGCACCTAACACAAAAATTAAAAGAAATAACTGTCCTTCCTCCTTCTACAATGGTTGAAAGAAACAAAAATTGAGTTTTATTGGCGGTCAAGCTGTAGATCCTGGCTCCACAGGAGTTGCAGCGGTGGGAACGAGAGGTGGGAATAATCCCGACGTCCCGAGTCCGTTCCTGTCCTCTAATTTCTCACGGTTGAGGTAATTTTTTACGGATTATTTGTAAATGTCCCTTTTTTAATGTCCGTTTTGATCCTTTTTTGTCTCTCCCCGATATTACGGTAAGACAGGTTGTTTGGGAGTTTTTTTGGAACGTTGTTTGATGTCTTCTAAGTTTTTGAAGGGTTGAGTATTATCTCTACTAAATATTACGAAGTGGTAAAGTTATTTGAGAAATGATATGATTTTTGTAGCTGTACCATAGATAGGTTATTTTTATTATTAATAATTTCGATTATTAAATATCTTATCTTATTGTCAATTTCAGGTTTCACATGAAGACACAAGAAAACATGAAGAAAGAAGATCAAGCAAGATATAGGTATTTTGTGGTGCAGTGCTCTGATGCAATCGCAGTGGATTTCCAATGAGGGCTATCGTTTTTATACTTAACAGTTGGCACCCCTGGCGATTGACAGGACCTTACTCTACAGTGGCGCCATCTTGACGAGTGCAAATGCGATAGTCCTCCTACCACTTTCGCGCTCACCAGTTGGTGCCACTGTCTTCGCTACTAGCAAGTGACAGGACCTTACTCTACAGTGGCGCTAACTGGTGAGCGCTAAAACGATAGCCCTCATTAAAACAACGGGTATATTTTGACACCACTTGAGAAGATACAGTGTATGTCGTGAAAAGCGACTTTTTGTCGCTTTTTTTGTCACGTCTGGTCAGCGTGGAGAGAGGCCCAATACTCTTGCCTCAAGTAAATTAGAGAAGGTCATCATGCTCCTGCAGTGTATACCAAATGATCTGATAACTGGAAGCAGACAAAGTAGAAAATCATACAAGTGGAGAAGTCTCATAAGTAAAAGAAATAGTAGCGAATTTCCAACAAAAATTTCATCGTCTTATCATCTTATGTGCTGCTGTCATCTGTACTTCTCCAAGTTTATCCTACTAATATTATAAATGCGAAAGTTTAGATATCTGGATGGATGTTTATTACTCTTTCACGCAAAAACTACTGAACCGATTCTGATGAAACTTTACAGTACTATTCCATATAACCCAGAACAACATTCTATAGGCTACAATATATGACGATCTGTGACAAACTAAACTTCACGCGGGCGCGGGTGAAGCCGTGGGAAAAAGCTGGTATTATTATAATTTTTCAGCATAGATGAGCTGACCAGAGGATGGTCTGACGTAATGCCCTTGAGTAGAAAGTGGCCAGTGGCCAGGTGTGAGCCGACCACATAGTTTGACGCAATCCGCCCACGACGCGGTTTTCTTGAGAAAACCTTTTAGAGTGTACAGTTGAGAGCAGAAGTGCTTTCGCTCTGAAGTTCTGGTTGATTCAGGTAGGCATTTACTCAGGTACAGTATTAAGTAATTTATCTGTCTGCAAATATCCATCAAACTTAAATAGTCTATTTCTAAGATTTAAACAATCACTTCGTCTAAGGTGAGATCATTAGTCATCTTACATACTTTTTCACTGGTGTTTGACTTTGTTAACTGTCAGAATGTACGGGACAAACTAAACCAGTGGTCTGGTTTGAAAAACCTCATTTGTCTTGCGCTTACTATCAGAAGAAATTAGTTAACTTAGAAAACTTATAAGTTAACTGAAAACTTAAGTGGTGTGGCCAAAACAAAGCGTAAAAAACTGTTTATAAAGATTAAATAAGATATGTACTTGTAGGATCGGTTTATTCAAGTTTTCAAGCTCAGTGGTCAAAGCGCTGTTCGACCATTCGCTCGAGTTTTTCGGATTTTTTCAGGTTTTAAAAAGTTTATTTGAGATGCATCTCAATCAGAAATGTTCATAACAACAAATGGACCTTTCCACTTGTGTGCGCGAGTGCCGATCGTCTGCGTCCGCGCACTTTCTTCGGCGCGCCCTCTCGCGTTACGCAACGGTACCTGTTTCGCGCAGCCTATTTTTCGCAGACGAAAGTTGTAAGCTTTAATATACATAATACTTTTTTCTTCTTTGTAAGGAACTTTTACTCTAGCGCAGTGTTTTTGACTTTCATCGTCGCTT